CTACAGAGATCAAAACCTCTTTCTCCATGAACTCTTAGCACAAAGTTTTGCTCTAAGAAGTTGTAGGTTTTATCCTGCAAAGCAGTTTATTGCATCAGCATGCTGGTAAGGCCAAGGAGGCCTGTGATAGGATTAGCCTTCAGGGAGCTATGAAACTGCAGTTCTTCACACTGTACCTGCATGGCTGATTTTCCAACTTCTCATTCCAAATCTGAACACCTTGACTTGGGTGCATAATTTGCACTTTCGAGCCACAGGTTCGTGAGGACACGGCTCTGCTCCTCTCCTGCAGTCTCTCCACATACAATTATATTTCTTTAAATAAGGAATCAACTACTGCTTCAGAACAGCAAGATTAACAATGATGATGTTCTGTCATTCAAGGCCAAGTCTCATTACAGGCCACCGAAGTCTGGATACAACATCTTGCCTAGATATTGACAAAAGCAGATCCTCTGAAATGCTGGAACTTGCAACAGCAATTCATGTCTCCAGAATTTATGAATTTATGCCCTTGGCCTGACATTAGAAATATTGCACTAACACAGCACTGGGACAGATATCTGCCCTTAAACATCAACTCTGACCAGGCAGCACTTGCTCTCTTGGCTTTCTAGAGACACTTCTGCAGAGAACACACCGTCACTGAAGTGTGGGGGCTTTTTAAGTAACAACAAAATTCTGTACTGGGGAGCAACGAAGGAGACACAAAGGGATGGAGAACAGGTAAAGACCAAACATCAGTTTAAGATGCTACACTCCCATTCCCTTCTTTGCCAGCTATTGCTTTCTTTCCAACCCCCAGGAAGGAAGGGGCAAGTTTCTTGGTGGTGTTACAGAGAGGAGGCACTTTGCCAAGCGTTAGCAGAAGGGCACTGAAGAGGAGCTGAAGGCATCCACTGAGTCCCACACCCCTCACCAAGAGCAGCACAAAGCCACTGCCGTGTGTTCACCAATGGAGAGGAGTCTGGAGAGTCCTTTCCCATTACTGAAAGAATGCAAGAACATGCTGTTAAATGACAGTTTAGTTTAACTGGGAAAGGATTAAGCTGTTGAAATCACATAATTTGGAAGAAAATACTTTTGTTTTAAGAGGCTTTTTTAAACAAGACAACTGAGAACGTAGGCGTCTTCAAACGACAACCCAGAAAGCCAGTAGAGTTTGCACAGCCAGAGAGAGATGTCGGCACTGTTCATGAAACAATTCAAAGTGAGACCATTTCTAAATGCAATGATGGCTACAACTTATGGTTATTTTATGCAGTGAGGTTGTGTGAGTTGGTCACACCACACCACACCACTGCTTCTTATGTGGACACAAGCCCACTCCCCCTGCTCCTGCAGGCCAGCCCGGCCCCTGTCCCTTCCCACAGCCTGCCTCTGAGTGGGCAGGTCACTGAATCCACATCCTGCCCCGGGATCCAGCCTGGCACAGAGCTCCTCACTCAGCACAAGTGAAGCACCCAAAGGGTAACTCACGGGGTGGTTTACCCCTGTAAGATTAACCTATCAGCACCCCGTAACCCTGCTGGCTGGACATGGCCTCCATGCCATGGAGCACACTCTACAGGCCCCGGGCACTGCCTGCCCAATTGTCACCCTGTGCCAGGGCACCAGTTCAGCAGGGAGGCCTGTAAGAAAGATGGGGACAAACTTCTCAGTAGGGCCTGTTGGGAATAGGACAAGGTATGATAGTTTCACGCTGACAGAGGGCAGGGTTAGATGGGAGACTGGGAAGGAATCCTTCCCTGTGAGGGTGGTGAGGCCCTGGCACAGATTGCCCAGAGAAGCTGTGGCTGCCCCATCCCTGGAAGTGTTCAAGACCAGGTTAGATGGGGCTTGGAGCAACCTGGGACAGTGGAAGGTGCCCATGGCAGCGTTTTGGAACTGGATGACCCTTTAAAGGTTCCTTCTGACCCAAACCATTCCATGATTCCATGAGTCTATACAGCAGTGCCAGTGCTCTGAGAGAAGACATGACCTGCCTTGCCCGAGGGATTATACAAATTGCCATGCTGGACAACAAAGCAGTTTAAGATAAATTTTCAGCACCAGCACCTTCCATGTGGTCAGGTAGTGGCTCTGTCAGGAGGGCCATGGCCAGATGGGGACAGACAAGCTCTGCAAACCCCACTGAGGCACATGGCACTGAAGAACCACTCCTGTACTGCAAGTGTCTCCAAAGGCCAAGAGAACAGTTCTGCTGAGGAATCGTGCTTTTTCCACACCTTCCATGCCAGGTCCAGGCAGAGGTAAGACAAGCTCTGACATCTTGCATGCCTCCCCACGAGACACTGTCTGTCCCAGCCTAACATCCTGGGCACAGGGGGAAGGAAAACAGCTGCAGAGAGGCTGTGCACTGGTACCTCTTATCTTGTCACCATATTGCCAGGTGCTAGCAGCACCCGTTCAGCATGACTGAACCCCTGCCACAGCCCAAGGCTGCTTCGGCTTTTTCTATCCCTCCACTCCACACACTCTGGAGGGGTTTCCCTATCCACCCACACTACACACTCTAGAGGGGTTTCTCTGTCCCTCTAGCCTACACACTACGGATGGGGAAGCACTGACAGACCAAGCTCCTTGTGCTGCTTTGGCCCTGGGGAGGCCAGCTGCAGGTGGTTAAGTCCTACCCCTGGAGAGCTGATCCAGCTGCCGTGCCTGCAGCCCCTGGTGCTGTCCCCCCCCCAGCCCGAAGCCACCTTCCACGCAGGCAGAGCTCCTTTTAAGAGGATTTCGTGCTGGTCTTTCCACTCACTGCAGAATAAGGAATGCTCCATCTGACACACTTGGCTCTGCAGGTGTTCAAGGCCAGGCTGGACGGAGCTTGGAGCAACCTGGGATGGTGGAAGGTGTCCCTGCCCATGGCAGGGGGTGGGACTGGATGGGCTTTGAAGTCCCTCCCAACCCAAACCAGTTTGTGATACTATGATTAAAGCAGCAGGAAATACTGTGTGATGGGATTTCAGTCTGCTTGTAATCCCCCTTTCTGGGGCAGCTGCAGCCAAATGGACTCAGTTACCTCAACCCAGCCTCTGCTTGGAACAGGAGATTCAGTCCTCTGATTTATGCCCGTGCATAATTAAAAAACAACTAATTGTAAGTTCAGCTGCAAAAAAACTGCCAAGTCTTGTTATCAAAAACAGTGTAACTGCAGTCAAAATGCATTTAAATCTCCGCTCAAGCGTGGACACTACGGAGCTCATTTTGAGCACAGCCAATTTATTAGAAGCAAATAACTGCCAGTCACCGGGCAGGCCCTGGTGCTGCTGCACCACCCAGGCTGTGGCAGGAAGGGACGCCCGCAGGAAGGACACAGCCACTTTTTTCTGCAAATAATTCCCCAGCAGTTGGAAAGTCAGGTATGACTGTTCCCTACACCCCAGCCCCCCGTTCCTAAAGGCACAGGGGAGAAGGCAGGGTGTAGGCAGGGTGCAGGCAGTTCTGCTGCCCACACAACCGACTGCAGGCTGAGACCCCCAAACCCAGGCAGGTGGTTTGGGGTTCAAAGTTGTGGCTGCCTTTTGTGGCTAAAATAATGGAGTCATTTGGCAGGACCTGGACAGACAGGGATCCCCTGGGTGCTCAGGGTGGCCTCCTCAGCCCATGGCACTCGCTACATCTTAGGAGAAATAATAATGGAATCACAAAACAGTTTGTGTTGGGAGGGACCTTAAAGCTCATCCAGTTCCAACTCCCCTGCCATGGGCAGGGACACCTTTCCACTAAACCACGTTGCTCCAAGCTCCATCCAAGCTGACCTTGAACACATCCAGGGATAGGGCAGCCACAACTAAGTAAAACAGATTCACTAAAACCACTTTAAACCACAAAAGAAAGCTGAAGAGCCACCACACAGGCTTTCCCTATCTTTTAGGGTATTCTCTTTCTCTGCAGATAAAACAATCTGCTATGGTGGCTTCTCTCCTTCCAGTCCTGTCCCACTGCCCGGGGGGTACAGGTAGAGTACGAGTGACCCCACACATGGAGAGGCTGGCAGGACATGGCTCCATCAGCCAGGCACAGCAGGAAGGGACACATCCCTGCCACATCTCTCTTTGGGGCACTCCAAGTTCAGCACCAAGTTGATAAATTCCTGCTGCCTTTGGGACACATCCTGACCTTCACCTTCCAACCACTGCCAGACCACCTCATGTGCTCTGCTGTACAATGAGCAAGACATCTCCTCCCCTCCACACCTCAAATCTTGGGGGTGCTTTCAGCCTGCTGCCTGTGCTCACCACAAGTCTCTGGGGTTCACCAGGAGCCAGGCACCTGCCACAACCACACTCTCCCTCCCCTCTTGCTCACTGCCAGAAGCAGAAGCTGTGGCTCTCACCCACGTGCTGGCCACCACACGTCACAGCCACCACAGGCCAGGCAGCACTCGGGACCCCCACGGGCAGGATGCGGCCCCAGGGGACGGCAGCAGAATGAGATCCAGACCTGGGCCACAGCCCAGAGCTCAGCTGGCCACTGGTCACTCTCCCACAGAACAGACCAGGGTAGGGGTGGGGCAGCACGAGGCTCCAGAGGTGCCTTAAAGCCTGCGAAAAACACTGGTCTGGCTGTTTCTTGGACCCACTGGGGGCAGAGAGGGGAAGAAAGAAGCAAAATAATAATGGAGAAAGGTTAGAGTGAAAAAATACAGGTAAAAAAAGGTGTCAGAAGTAGCTGGTTTGAGGTGCTGGAGGGACGCCAAAGGCTCAGGCTGGGATCAGACTCCACGCTGGTTTATGGACTCCTGGCAGCCATAGGTGCCTGAAGACTTTTGAAAATAGTGCTCCAATTTTCCAAGATAGCCACGTGAAACTAAATAAACGATAAAAACGAAGCTCAGAAGTCCTGCCCCACACATCTCCCAGGAAGAATCGGGGAGGTGAGGCTGCTGTGCTCCCACGCAGTGCCGGCCTGACACATCCCTTCCTGAGCACACAGACACCAAACGTGCTCCTCAGAGCACCACCACAGTCCAGCAACACCCCGGCCACAGCCTCGGACAGCCGGGCCTGCTCCGGAGGGGAAACAACACCTCAGAGCCAGGGTTGGGGGGGACACACACACGAGGGACGGGGTTGGGGTGATCCAACGCGGGTCCCCGTCCCGCAGCTCCGCAGCCTGTGGGTGCCCTGTTTAGAGAGAAAGCCCCTCTGGGGTTCCCGGGACCTCGGGCTGTGCCCAGCACGACCAGGGCCGGGGCTGCTGCTGCTGCGGCCATAGCCCAGCGGGAACCAGGGGGCACTGCGGGACCCGCAGGAACCGGCCTGGCCCCGGGGCTTCTGCCGTTGCGGGCTCCGGGCTCCGGGGGGAGCCGGGGAGGGCAGTGCTGGCCCGGGCGCTGCGGCCCGCGCAGAGCGGCCGGGGGTTTCCCCCCCCCCCCCGGCCCTCTCCGGCGACACGCTCACGCGCCTACGTGCGGGGCCGCGGCCGGTCCGGCCCACCGGCCCGGGGGCACCACCGCCCCCCCGTGCGCCCCGGGCCGGTCCCCCGGTCCTCGCCCCCAGTCCGGTCCCCCGCCAGTTCGCCGGCCCGCCGCTTTGTCCCGCCGGGGGCGAACAAAAGGGCGCGGGGCCCGCGGGCCCCAACCGCCCCGGCCCCGCCGGCCCTGCCCCCGGTGGCCCGCGCTGTAACCTCTTGGAGCAGCTCCCAGCAGCACGCCGGTGAAGCGCCGCTCGCCGCAGCTCAGCGTCACCACCAGCGTGTCGTTCACGCATCTGCTCCATCCAGGCACGCGGCAACCCACCGCCCACCGCGGGCGGCGCCCCTCGGCTCGCCCTGCGCCCCCCCCGGGCTGGGGCTGGGCGCTCGGCCAAATGCTGCCCGGCCGCTGCCGCCCGGGGCCCGCCGGGCCGGCCGGGCCGGGCCGTGACCTCACGGGCCGCCGCCGCCACCGCCCTGACGTCACAGCAACCGCCCCGCCGCCCGCTGACGTCACGACCCGGCCCCGCGGCGAGGTCACCGTGCGCGGGTGGGGGCGCGGGTCGGGCGGGAAAGGGGAGGGCCGGGCAGGAAGGGGCGGCCACGCCTGCGCGCCACCTGGCGGCGATCCGCGCAACGCGGCACCAGCAAGGAGCGGGGCCACTCGGGGGCGGGGCCAACGACGGGGCGGGGCCACGACGAGGGCGGGGTCATAGCAGGGGTGGGGCCATCCCGGGGGCGGGATCGCTTCCCACTGGAGCTGGGATCCGAGCGCGGTCCTTACTACCAGCACCGTGCCCGTTCTTGAAGCACTGCCACACATCCCCAGGTTCCTTTGGAATCCAACTCTCTGAAAAGTTGCACCCACTTACCTTCATAACCGTCCTTTACGGATTCCCAGAGTGGCTGGGTTGGAAGGGACCTCAGGGGATCACCCAGTCCGTCCCCCCGCCCGGGCCGGGTGGGTCGCCTGGAGCAGGTGACACAGGAACGTGTCCAAGTGGGGTTGGAATGTCTCCAGAGAGGGAGACTCCACACCCTCCCTGGGCAGCTGTTCCAGGCTCTGCCACCTCCATGAAAAGAAGTTCTGCTTCATGCTGAGGTGGAACTTGTGTTTTAGATTATGGCCATTGCTCCTCATCCTGTCCCTGAACAGAGTGTGGGACCATCCTGACACCCCTTGGATATATTTTTGTGCATCGATGGCATTCCCCCTCAGCCTTCTCTTCTCTGGGGTAACCAGGCCCAGCTCCTGCAGTTTCTGCTCATCAGAGGGTTCAGCCAATATCCCGGCAGTGTCCTCTGTCACACGCACTCACTAAATCCAGTGACTATGGATGTACCTGGGGTAGCTGGGCCATCTTGGAACATACAGAACAAATCAATGCCCAGCTGCCAGCATGGACACAGTGGACAGACATAACCACATATTTACAGACATTCAAAGGAGTTCTTGTCAGAGTGAATTGAATTGGCCTTGATGGGATGTTCCTTTGCATTTTCCTCCTCCTGCTTTCATCATTCCCATGTGCTGTTTGATGTGCTGTTCCAGTTTATTTTCTCTGAGGGATCTATGTAAACATGATAAAATTATTATTTTGGTTGCTTTATTTTCTGTGCTTCACTTTCTGTGCTCCTCAGACCTGTCTGGCTGCAGCTGTGGGATCTGGAACCACCTCTCTGCCATATTACAAGATAGTGTAATGTCACATTTTCCCTTAGAGATGATGAAAATTCCCCTTGATTTACAGACGCTGTTCAGTAATCATGTCCTGAGAGGATCAGCTGGAACATGCCTGTATAGACAGTTGAGATACAGCCTCCAATACAGATACACTAATTTTTAGAAGTGCAAAACAGAGCAAACCATGATCTTGTCATGAGGAAACCCACCAGAACATCTCTGGCTTTCCCTGAGCACAACTGAGTTACAGAAGGGCATGTGCCATGTCCTCCTCTGCCCTGGGGAAGGCAGTGGTGCCCTGCCTGCCCTCAGGGCCTCCTGCCAGATGTTCTGACCTCTGGCTGCCCAAATCAGTTATTTATGGAATATGGCTGTGCTGGGAAACACTGATGAGTGCTGACTCAGGAGCCTCGTGGGGTCACGGGTGGCAGAGCCAAGGGAAAGCCCCACCTCCACACTCCTCACATTCCCGGTCTCCTGCTCCTTGGCACTCTGCTGCCAAGTTAGGCCCTTCTCTCAGCAGTTTCCAAATTAAGCTACCAAAAAAAAAAAAAAAGGTCTTTGTTCTGCCAGGTTGAATGTCTTTAAAACCTCAAAATTATCCTGTGAAGCCAAATTATTTTCCAGACAAACCACCTTACCTGTGCTTCAAGTTAATAAATCCCCAGGTTTTGCACTGAGAGAAATTACTGTGCTACGTTTGAATTATTTCATGGGCACTTCATTTGTCGCTGTGCAAAGCTCCCCTCTGTGCTGCTCATGGGACAGCTGCCAAGTCTATTTTACAGCAGTGCCTGTGCTGCTGCAGTCACTCAGCTCACAGAGGGAGAATCCTATGGAACAAACCTATTTCCAGGGCTCTCACTTATGGTATTATCACTGAGGGTGACAACAGAGCAGAAATGACAGGGCACACTCACCTCCATCTGACACAGACACAGAGGATTTACTCTGGGGAGAGCCAAGGTGTGTGATGGCACCACAAGTACTCACCTGTCCTCACCTTTAGCACAATTGCCCAAAACCAGGATTGTAAATCCAAGACAACCGCATAATTTCAGGAAAAAATATTCTAAGTTTTATTAAGCAAGGTCAGCTGCCTTGTGTTTTTCCCCCTTGTTCCAACAACAATTTGCAAACTGAAATCTTTGGTGTTAAATAAAGGAATATTCTCTGTCATGCCCAAGGAATATGAAAACTGCTTCTAAGACATGATCAGAGAACAAGAAAAACTAAACATGAGAGCAAAACTGAAACAGTCAATATAAAAGTATGTGAATATGTTGCAGAGTTTTCCTTAATTCCTGTATTTATTAGGCATAAAGCAACCCTAACCCAGACGCGAAAGGGGACACGTCCTGGAGTGCCGTCCCATGTTCAGGACAGCAGCCCCTCCCAGTGCTCCCAGTGCTCCCAGTGCCCCCAGTCCCTGCCGAGCAGCGGGCAGGCCGGTTATCCTGCCGGGAAACACCAGAGGACAGCATTGCCTTTTGCTGGAGCGTTGCTGGGAACCACCGGAGTGATCCAACCAGGGGAGCTGCATAGGATATGGGAACGCAGGGAAAGCCATCACCCTAAACCCAGGGAAGATGCTCACAGAAAGTGGTGACTATGTGAGGATACTGAGACAGGTATCAAAGAGCAGCACAAAACTTTTTTAAAAGTGGATGTACAGAACAAGATTTATAAGATGAAGATTTATAGGCATTACCTGATTACCCAAAAAACTGTTCATGAATATTGGAGGGAAAAAAAACATTGCGACCATGGCAATTAATGACCAAAAAATAAAATTAAGAACATCTCCAGTGTTTTTATTCTCTCCTTCACACAACCACGTACTTCCCTGTTTCAGAAATGATTTGCCAATAAATTGTCCCCAATAGGGTTTGCATTATTTGCATATTGTAAAGTATGACAAATAAAGCATGTATTCCATGTTTTGCATGCAAATGCAAAGCAATATAATGTATATTTATACACAGTTATTTATCCTACTGCTAAAAATGAAAAATTAAGTTACCTGCAGGATTCTACAGTCCGTTGTTATTCTGTATATAAAATCCTATTGCTCTTCAATAGAAAGAATCTGGACATTCACAGGTACAATTACAAAAATAATAACACAAAAGGCAGTAAATAAGACAATATAAAAGCTTGATAGTGCTTTTTAATTTTGGAGAAAAAATATTTTCAATAATAGAAAATACAAAAGTTGGTTTGTTTTCCATATATTTATGTCTAAAATACCATTTATTAATCAAATACAGAACTGACAAGGATGCACATTAAACTGCTTTTATATTTTTCAGTAGAAATATAGAGTTTTCCAGCATTTGCACAGTCCTTATCAGACACCACTGAGGCTTGGTCACCTGCAAAGAGGAGCTGCCTAAGAGCAGAGCTGTTCTCCCGTGTTCCAATAAAATCCTGGGCTGCACCTACATGTTTGTCAGCAAGAAATTCTTCTTTTTCATCTTCTTGTATTTTATCATTCCTTCTTTCGGTTTCTGAGCTCTTGGCTCGTTGCCTTCCCTGGGTCACTCTCCTGACAGATCCACACTGGACTGCAACAGTTCACTCAAGTTCAGCTTCTCAACAGGAGGCATTTCCATGGAATGAAAGGGGAATTGCTGCAGTCCTGTGGACCAATTAGTTAATTGGGTTTTAAGGAAAACACAGTGTTCAGTGTCAATCAGTCCAACAGAAATGGGATCCACTGGTCTGTTTCCTTTTAGTACTTATTTTAATCTCAAGGATTTTTCACAAAGCAATCTGTCTTCTGAAAGAAACCAGCAATCTATTGATGCATGTGAGCAGAGCAGTGCCTTCCTTCTGATTGATAATTAATGGATCTCACGATTAATGGAGCTCATCGTTCTGCAAACCTTTCACCTGGGTTTTTATCCATCCCACAATGTAGAAGCTGATCCACCTTAACAATCATTTTTGTTAAGTGCTTAATCCTTCTGACTCATGCCAAGTCTGAGAGTCTTGTGTCCTCCACACCCTGCAGAAATGAAGCTCTCAAAGCTGTGTCCACCACAGCCCTAGCAAGGTTTAAATGTGTCACATCCACTGTAAAATGATGGAATTTTGAAACAGAGTAGGACATGACAGCGGAAAATCCCAGCTCTGTGCTGGGATCTCTACTTTGAGCTAAAAATAGACTGGAAGCTAAGACTGACATGATGCATGTGCATATAAGGACTGAGTTAGGGCTGTATATAACCATAACTACTTCTCTCACTTCATTTGCCTGCAGCATTTATAGCCTGCCAGTGCAGACTGGGGTATATATAAGTATTACATGAGATGTGTATGACTGAGTAAAAGACAGAGTTCTCTGCATGATGAATAGGAGTTAAAAATAAGTTCCATGCATCAGATGAAGCAAAAAGGCAAAGCTAACAGCTACAATAATCATTAACATACTACAAGGGCCCAAATGCAATCTGTGAGTCAAAACAAGAGTGATCTTTTAATGCAATCAATTTAAATTTCAAGCCAGGTTGGACAGGTTTGGAGCCACCTGGTCTAAAGGAAGGTGTCCCTGACCATGCAGGAATGAGATGAGCTTTCAGGTTGCTTCTAACCCAAACCCTTCTGTCATTCTGTGATTCTAAATATGTGATGTAATCCAATATAATGACAACAACCAAGGTACTGATGACTTTTGCACACCTTGCATTTCATCTCAGACAGCATCTCAGGTACTATCTCAAATTACACCTTTATAGGTACTAACCTTCACACACAACTGAGCTCTCTTGGTGATCTTTCATATCTGCCTGCTGATGATTCATTCTAGGGTACATCTACACTGTGCTCCAAAGCCTGACTTTTACCTGCTAGGAACCGTGTTTGTGTACAGAATTACTCAGGTACCCACAGCAGGGCCCAGCTCATCAATAGGTGGCCACCACAGAACTCACTCACTTTTCAGGTAGGTCTGTGCCCCAGCTCTGCTGCTGCCCCACCCACCAACAGCTGAACCTGTCTCAGCTCACCCATGTGGTGTCCAGAGATCACAAGGTACACAAAGGTTTGGCTTTATCCAAACTACGGACTCAGCATGTTCCTTGGATCCTGGAGCAGAAACACACTGGATTCCATCTCCCTCTGCTCACATTTGGGAG